ACACACACAAAACCCAGTGAGTTTTACTGCCAATTGTTTTTACGATAAGCAATGGAGTGGAAGAAAATTCTGAGTTTAAAAAATAAGGTGTGGGGTGGGAGACCACAATTTTGAAGGATCTGTGAGATTTTTAAGACCATGTCCTCAAAGGAATAGCTGAAACATCATTCCACTATGGAATCATTTTGTCTTAATTGTTCCTGGAATAATGGCGGAAAATGTAAAAAGAGCATGATTTTGCTGATACAAACATTAGAGTTGGCGCTCTTTCTTATTGCAACAGACAAAACCTACTAGAAACTGCAGTTTGCCTGCCTGACAGCGCTTCCTTCTCTCCATAAGCTGCGGATTTAGGGTTTTCTTTATATCAAAAGACAAATGATGAAAAGAATCTGTAGTCCTCAGTATTCTGGCAACAGCCACAACCGCAATCCTGTTTTTCTGGGCACAATATAATGTTATACCTGCATAAATATGCTGAATATTCCACTCAGGAAACAAGGTCCGTGCCATTCAATGGCACAATTGGGCATGCGGTTCTTTTCTCAACTGATGGCGCAGTGCGCCGATGGAAGTGCTTCATGAATAACACTTGTGCCGTGGTGTAACAAACACGGCCACTTGCTTAACACTGAGTTACACAAGCCTACTTCTGCAACAGCATCTCCATTATATGACTTCTCACAGTGGCAAAGCTGTCAGTGACGGCTTTTTTTTTGTTTGTGAGATTCCGTTCTTATTTTCCGTATCTTTTCTATTTAAATTAGAGATGGGCATGAACCGCAGCAATCCATGCCAGTTCATTGAGCGGCCAAACAGGCATTTGGTGTCTCGAAGCCTTGTTCCACTCAGAGGAAGTGCCTGGAGGAAGCGGGACGGGGAAGCCAGGCCACGGCCTCTGAGTAGATGCCCACCAGAGAAAGTGGAGCTTTGAAGTGCCAAACATTTGTTCAGCTGCTAAATGAACCAGGACAAATTGCCAAACTGGAGGTTCATTACCATCTCTAGTTCAAACCAGTGGTTCTCGACTTTGGGTAACCCTGGTGTTCTTGGACTGCAGCTCCCAGAAATCCCGGTCAGCTCAGCTAGTGGTGAAGACCTCTGGGAGCTGCAGTCCAAGAACACCAGGGTTACCCAAGGTTGGGAACCATTGGTTTAAAAAAAGAGATTTAACAGGCCTTACTGCAGCCAAGCGTGCATGATTGCCAAGCATTCCATGAGTTTAAGAAGCCCTCTTTAAAAAAAACACACACATATTCTCTACATGAACATATTTTTCCCCCTTGTCAGAAACAATGGGAGGTCCTCACAATGTGACAGAACCCTGGCTCATCTCATCTCTCAAGAGGCAGTAGAGACCTGCAGTTAAAACCATCTGTGGGCCATGCTCATGGGGGGTCTCCTGGAAGCTGAAGTTCAACATTCTTGGAGGACCAAAGGCTGCAAGGCAAGGCAAATGCATCACAGAATAAACATTCCCTCTTCTTAGTACGAAGGTTCTGTGGGTGCTTTAGGAAGAAAGTTGCTTCCTGCTCCCAAATTTAAGAAATGTGAGCACAGTTGCAATAATTGACATTAAGATGGAGGAGGGATGAGGGGCTTGAGTGAAGAAAGGAAGTTTTGAGAATTACAGTGACTTCTTGTCTCCTCTTGAACCTGTTAGTATTAGAATGGTTTTCTTCATTTTACTAAGCAAACAAGCTTAACATATGCAACAGTTATGTCACAGACGCACTTCCTAATTTGTCAGTGTTTCAAAAGACAGCCTATAAACAGCTGAGAATCAATTTCATATAAAAGCCAGGTCTATGAGTTTCCTTGTGATTTTTTGTTGTTGTTTTGATCATTTATGCTAAACCTTACTGTTACCTGCTTAAAGCAACTTGGACACAAGCGAGGATAGCTGTGAGATTCAAAAAATGCCAGTGTGTCAACTGGAAGGGCCAAAACGGTGGCAAAGGATTGGATGCTGAGATTGGAGTCAAAGTCCAAAACAGCTCACAAAGATCAGCAAGGCATGAGATGGACATGTCATTAAACATGATGGTCACGTCCTAAAGCAAAACATTCCAGGCAATATGTGTTCAAGGTCCTGTGGCTCAGACTGATGCTTCACGTATTCCCTGGGCTAAGACGTTTAGGAACAGCTTATCCTTCTGTAGGACTGACTGGGTCACAATATTGAGGTGCTGCAAAGTAGCAGATATCAAGAGCTAAACATCTGCTTTAGAACTGATCCTAGGAACTTCAGCCCTTGGGCACAGCTGTCAGGTTCCTTGGTTTTAGTCCCTCCTCCCACCATGCTCCACACTGTTTGGCTTAATGGATCATGAAGGTTGAGTCATGCAACAGTGGCAGCATCCAAGCACATGCTAAGAAGGCTCTGTGTCGGAGAATCAAAGATGCTTTCTCAACATACCTCATCCTTTATGCCAGTACAAGCTGGTCTCTATGACTGGCAAGGATCAGTAATATTCTTTTTCTGTGCTGTCAAGTTGAGTCCACTTTGCAGCAACCCTATAAAACCCTATGATGTTCAGAAGATCTGCCCTTAGCAGGCCTGCACAGGGCTTGCAAATTCAAGGCTATGGCTTCCTTTATTGAGTCAATCTATCTCATGCTCAGTCTTCCTCTTTTCCTGCTGCTTTCCACTTTTCCTGGTCTTATTGTCTTTTCCAGTGAATCTTGTCTGCTTAGTCTCGATTTGGAAATAACAGCCCAAAATGTCCTAAGTTGCTGCTATATGGAATATGAACTTGACATGGGACCACATTTCCAGAGAACTGCCCTCACTATCTGCCCCTCAGCAGAACTGCATGTACTGTGTTTTCTAGTACAAATTATGTGATGGTGATGCCTGCCTCTCTCTCTCTCTCTCTCTCTCTCATGCCATGCACATGTTTTCTGTGTTTTGGCTCCTGACAGCTTGTAAGGCCCTAGCAGATGAACTGGCCTACGACATAAAGAAAATAGGTCCAAGGAGGACTGTGGATTCGGGGACATTTCGCATCAACCCTGACGGCACAAGAGGGAAGAAAAAGGTAAGAAAATGAGAAAGAGGGAGGCCACCATCCCAGGGAGAGGAGATGGTGGCCCATAATTGCTGGGGTGTGCAATTACCAACCACTTATCCAAACAGCAGTTGGTCTCTTAATCTCCTAACCTTTTTCTTGGTAGGGCCAGCAGCCACTAAATTGCTTCACTCCCCTCTGGGACTCAAAGTAATCTGTGAGCTTGAAATTGAGGTGTTTTTTTCCCTTCCTTCTCCAGGACCTTTTTAGTTTTGGAGGGCACCGATTACATAAAGAGAATGGAGGACTGCTAGGCTGAGCAAAAAAAAAGAAGTCAATCAGAGGCATCCAAGCCATTGAGAGAGAGAGAGAGAGAAGGGAGGAGATGGGGTTAGAAGTCTTTCCTCTGGACTAGCTTCCACATGACGTTGGGCATCTTCCTCACAACGCACTCCTAGGGAACATCTACTTGAACCCACAATGTCATGTCACATCACTGGGCAATTGGTTTAATTTATTCTGGTTGCAAAAACGTTTGCTCTGAATGTACAGGGACAGCTTCTGCCCACAGGCCACATGATGGATAACTGCAGGCCGGTCCACCCCAATTAGGTATAAACCGGGCAGAGGGGAGCAAGGGATGCTTGCTTTGTGTGAAATGGGACAACCAGGGAATTACCTCTGGTTCTCCAAGCAGCCATTCCATACTACTCTTCCTCCCTGAGCTAATCTCACCCTAGGTGTTCATGGGCTGCTTGGTCCCAGGGTTGATTTCTAACATGGCTAAATCGCAGAGAATTGCTATTGAACAGCACTAGAGGAAGAGAAAGTTTGGTTCTTGTACCTGAGGAGGCATTCATCACCACCACCATGTCCAGCTGGTGGCAGTGCTCATGGGCTGGTCCCAAAGGTGGCCTGGACGCTGAAGAAGTCTTCTGCGTGCATCTCGCTTACTGGCCTAGGAACAGGCGCTGCCAGGTGAGCAGAATCCCATTTTCTGAGATTCCGGGCCAAGACGTAAGATCTCAAGATGGGCCCTTGTGATGATTCATGGGTGACTTTTACCGTGTCCCAAAGGTGGGGCCGCAAAGGGGCCCATACTGCTTCTAGGCCAGCTCAACTGACTGTGGACATGGGCATGCAGGACTATCAGCAAATGGACCCAGAATCTATATCAGATCCTGTTAGCCACATAATAGGTTATTTGGTTGCTCATACCTGGTTATTTGGTGTGCTGATGTTGCACTAATGCAACATACGTACACCCACCTTTCTAACATGGACTGGCAATGGCTTTCTGGCGTTCCAAGCAGCAACTCTGCCCCAAAGATGCCAACAGGTAAGCCTAGGACTTTCTGTACACCAAGCCTTTTGCTTTTTTGGTTATTCTTCCCATTATTTTTCAGGATAATTGTCTCTGTTCTACCACCATGTTTTGCATTTCCTACTTTATGCTGGCTGGGTAACTCAGTGGTTTAGGTCTCTGGGTCTTTATGCTGGCTGGGTAGCTCAGTGGTTTAGGTCTCTGGCAGCGGAGCCAGTGGTTGGGATTTCGATTCCCCCACTGTGCCTCCTGTGAGTAGAGCCAGCCTGTGTGGCCCTGGGCAAGCTGCACAGTCCTAGGGTGCCCCAGAAGAAGGGAATGGCAAACCACTTCTGAAAATTCTCTACCTAGAAAACCCAGGAAAGAATAAGTCAGAATTGGCTTGTTGGCCCATGTACGTAAATACACACATTTTGTAATGATAGCTAGTGTTGGATTGGTTTTCTTTCCCATATTTCCACCAAAAATAGTGATGGGTCGGGGCTGCCTTCTTGCTCTGGCCATGGATCTACATCCTATAGAACTCTGATGCAGGTGTGCCCCCAGCCGGAGGAAATTGGGGAGGAGGGAGAGAAGAAGGGATTCTGTGGGGCCCCCATGGAAAAGATGGGTACTTGGACCCAGGGGAAGCCACCAGAACAAGGTGAGGGGTCGACAACAGATGTCCTTCAAGATAGGAAGCAGCCGCTTAGGCTGGGACAGAAGTATTTGCTGGTTCACAAGGGCAAAGGAGGTGCAACCTCACCCCACTCCTGCCTCCTCCATAAGAGATGTGGACAGCCAAAACCCCTCCTGCTGAACTCCCAGCCTCACACTATATATATATATATGTCGGGGCAGGGATGATAGGGAGAGAGAGAAAGAGGATGAAAATGAGAGGATGAAGTTGAGCGGGTAGGTCAGCTGCCCAGCTATGATCTAGTGCCTACCAGCATATGGGCATATGTGTTGATGGATGCTTGGTTGCCTGCATGAGTATGCATGCACATACGTGCATTTCTGTGCATACCCACTTTGGGCCCTGGCTCTGCCCAACATTGGCTGCTGCGACATCTGGTCCACCAGTCTCATAGACACTGGCAAACACTGTATGCGAAGAGATGCATACAGATAGTGGCACCAGAGGGGAAGGCAAGTCTGTATGCGAAGAGATGCATACGGATAGTGGCACCAGAGGGGAAGGCAAGTCAGGAAGAGAGAAAGCACTCTTGCTGAGGGTCATTTGTGATGGAGGAAGGACCTTGTACCTGCTTCTTTCTTCTCCCTCTCCAGCCCCAGCCCCTCTTTTCAGGGTACCATGTTGGATTGGAAAGATGTATAAAGGTAAAGGTTCCCCTTGATATTTAGTCCAATCGTGTCCAACTCTAGGGCGTGGAGCTCATCCCCGTTTCCAAGCTATAGAGGCAGCGTTTGTCCAAAGCCAGTTTCCATGGTCACGTGGCCAGTGTGACTTAGACACGGAACGCTGTTACCTTCCCACCATGGCGGTACCTATTTATCTACTCGCATTTGCATGCTTTCGAACTGCTAGGTTGGCAGGAGCTGGGAGAAGCGACAGGTGCTCACTCCGTCACATGGATTCGATCTTACAACTGCTGGTCTTCTGACCTTGCAGCACAGAGGCTTCTGCAGTTTAACCCATGGCGCCACCACGTCCCTATGGAGAGATGTATAGTTAGGGATGAATGTTATCTAACAATGATGAGTATCTAGAAAGTGTATGGGGTAATATTATGGTGCGGGATTGATACTTTGGCTGTGTCACAACCCTGAAAAGTTGATGCTAGGCCACATCACCATCATCATCCTCATCATCATTATCTCTTCTCCTCTTTCTCCTCTGCAACATTTAATAGCCATGGAGCAGGTGTTTCCATGGTTACAGATGTTTATTTTATTATCTAATTACCAATCAATTTCAACAAGGGATACTTCTGACAGCACAAACACCCAAGCCAGTGTGATTAACTGTCTAATGAGTAAGCATAGATATTTTTTTTTGTTGACATGCAAAGATATTGATTCTTGCAGTTATGATGTGGGGCAGTTGGGATGAAAATGCATGGAATCGGAGTCTTCCTTTTATTGTCAGCTGTAGCAAACATTTCTCGCTGTTTTGGCTTGTTTCACTCAAACATCTCAGAAATGCAGAAGTTGTAAAGTTTGGAATTGCAGTGGGTGGAGGGAGATATTAACTGTGTGCTTCACAAATGAAGGCCAAACTATACATTGCAGACAAACTTAGGAGAGCAAGTGCTTCGTGTCACCAATATGCTGATGACACCCAACTCTACATCTCCTTTTTTTCCGTCTGCAGTGGATGCTTTTCCGTCCCTTGGGGGCGGCCTGGAGGCCGTTCTGCAATGGACGCAGTCAAATGGACTAAGGTTGAACCTGGACAAGACAGAGGTCCTGCGGGTGGGGAGACCTGGTATCAGTGGTTTGGGGAACTCCCTCTCTTTTTTGGGGGGGTGACTCTCACCACAAAGAATTTGGTTCGCAGTCTGGGGGTCCATCTTGACTCAGTGCTTACCAGGGAGACTCAGGTAGCGTCCGTGATTCGGTCTGCCCACTTACATCTTCGGCAGATCGCCCAGCTGCGTCCCTATCTAGACACGGGGGGGGGGGCTCACCATGCTGATCCATGCGCTCGTAGTCTCAAGAATGGATTATTGTAATGCTCTCTACGTGGGGCTTCCTTTGAAACTGATGCGGAAGCTTCAGATGGTCCAGAACACTGTGGCCAGGCTATTAACAGGGGTGAAAAGATTTCGTCATATTTCCCCCATCTTGGCCGCCTTACATTGATTTCAAGGTGTCAACCATTACATATACAGTGGGGTCTTGACTTAAGAACGGCTCGAGTTAAGAACATTTTGACTTAAGAACCACTCTCATAGGAAAATATTGACTTGACTTACATACTTAGATTTGAGTTACGAACTGAAAAGAAACCACGTGGGAGGCAGGGAAAGTGCAAAATTTGAACTTTCAGTTAACTGTTGGCCAGTGAAAAGGGTGCCTGTCTGCTTCCTCACTCCTCCCAGCGTTTAGAGAGTGGATTGGGAGACAGTCTTCGGACTGCCTGGTTCTGTACTGCCTGGACTGTATTTTACCTGCCTTCCCTGAACCTTTCTTGACCTAAGAAAAAAAGAAACAAAATATCCCCCTCTAGTGGTCGAAGGCGGAATAGCAGCTTCCCATTAGTTTCTATGGACGGAAAAGAGCAGATACGGATCAAATGGTTTTCAATGCATTCCTATGGGAAATGCAGATTTGACTTGAGAACTTTTTGACTTGAGAACCGCCTTCCAATACGGATTAAGTTCTCAAGTCAAGACCCCACTGTAATTAGGACAGGCAGGCAGAGAGAGGCTCAGAAGTTGATCCACATCCATGCACACTGCTGCCAGAGTAGACACGTTCTAGATGGGTGGTATATAAATCTAATAAATAAATTTAATTGTCATGATGAGAATTTTTCTTAATCTGATGCACTTTGCAAATCAGTTTGCTTTGATGTGTGTTTGAAAATCAGCTGGGGCTTCATGAGGAGCTCTGATTTCTCAGACACACACATCTGCTTTTATCGTATCTCAGGAGCACTATCATGGATCCTGCACTAATTACAGGATATCTGTAATGTAAAGTTTGACCCTGAAATACTACACATGCTTGTCTAAACGAAGCCCTTTCAGTCCAGGGA